TCTTCCCTCTCTGGCGTCCCCCCCCCCCCCCCATCATCTCTCCCCATCTATCTATCCCACCTCACCCGTTAGGTTGTTTCCTCTTCTCTTCTTCCAAAAAAAAGAGAAGAAAGAGCGAGAGAAAGGTCTCTGCAGCTTGGCCAACCTCTGTCTCGGCTCCTTTCGAATACCTGCATACCATCCATCTCACCGCATTGGTTGCCAGCCAGCCTTCCACACCCTCATCGCACTATTCCAGACGACATCCACAATCCTCACTGGGCGCCGCATCGAAGTCTTGTTGGAACCGAGAGCCAATGTCGACGTCTTCTGCAAGCCATCGTATTCACGTGCTGCCTTGCTCTCCCCATTGGGACGATTGTTTGTTCTCCTCTGCCTGCCGCTCACCAGCTTCTCGATCGGTTATTATGCTGTCTTTGCCTCTCGTCTGTATGCCCAATACCCCTCACTTTTCTTTCGTCGCGAGCGGTCAGTCTCGTTATACGACCCTGGACGAAACAGCCTTCCCATGACCTCTCTCTACCTACAGCCCATATACAACATCTACGACGACATCTCCTCGCAAAGTCACGGCCCCAAGTCTACCTAGGTAGCTCCTCGTGGCACCAGTCCGGCCGCACTAGCTGCGAGGCCGTTGGCTGTCATGTCTGACCAGGTCAAGCCCCAGCCGTTGCGGCCTCTACTCCCGGCACCAAAAGCCTCGCAGCCTGCTCCTCCTCCTCCTCTTCCTCCAGCACGCTTCCTTCCAGCTCAATCATCAGTCAAGAAGCGTCTACCGAGTACCAAGGTTGCTTGTAACGCTTGTCGGTCCAAGAAAAAAGCAGTAAGCACAAATCTCTTATCTTGGTACTATGGCAGGTCCTCTTGACTCGTTTCAAGCGCTGACATCCTCACTCAAGTGTGACGGTAAACGCCCTTCGTGCAAGGCGTGTACAGAGCTGAAGACACAATGTGTCTATATCAGTGCTAATGAGACGGAGACAGCCGCTATGGCTTTGAAGAGGGAAAATCAAATGCTTCGAGAAATGTTGAGCCAGCTCACGGCAATGCCGGATGATGTTGCCCACCAGACATTGAAGAAGCTCAAGTTCGCCGTCGACCCTTACGCTGCTCTTCGCGCCATAAGACCGTCGGGGCCAAGAGATGCCCGGGAGATCCTACCTCATATCTCGTCCAATGTCGAGTTTGAACTCACGCGACGCCATCCCATCTTGTATCCCCAGACTCGGAGATTAGGTCGTCTCGAGATGCCCGAGGATGTCGACTCTAGGCCTTCCAAACTCGCTCGGGTTGAGGACGCATCCGAAGAGGGTTCAATTCTCGAGGACCGTCGAGCACCAGAATACCCTACTGTGGCTGAAGTCCTGGAAGATGATCCCTCTACAGCCTCTCCTAGGCCTTCTCGAGCATTCAACTCGGCCTTCTTTGTTCCACTAATGGGCCCTATTCCTCCGCCGACACCGCGCATTCGCAACGAGCCTCGCCTGAAAGATTTGAACATCGCCTTCTGGACCGTAGTACCCATCAGTAATCAGGACGCAGCAGAAGTCATCTCCCTATATCTTGAAACAGATCATCCGATATTGGGCTTGTTCGATGCTGATCTGTTCCTGGATGACTTGGTCTCCGGTGAAGTTCGGTACTGCTCTTCACTGCTCGTCAATGCTCTGCTTGCTTTCGCTTGTGTCAGTTATCCCCCCCCCCCCCCTTACCCCCTTCTCTTGATTAATGTCATTGATTGTCTTTACCAGCAAGCGTATGCGGCAAAGCAACCTGAAGCGTCTCGATGGAGTCAAGAGCTGGAAGACGAGTCAAATAAGCTCTGGCATGCGCAAAACGATGATACCCTGCCTACCATTACAGCTTTGACCTTCTTGATTCAGTCCAGCGGCTGCAATGGCAATGGTGAACTCAATGTCAAGTTCGTCAAAGATACAGTAGCTATGGCGAAACGTCTGAGACTCTTTGGGTGTCCCGATGCATATACCTTTGTAGACCTAAATCGTCTCTCGGAACCACAGGCGAGGGCAACAGCTCAAGTTGCCTGGGGAGTTTTCAACACTCTGAGGTAAGGCCATTTCAAAGAGTCCCCAAGTCCAAGTGAGCATAGCTGACGAAAAGCGCAGTATGATAGCTCAGTTCTGTTTACCAGCGACTACTGAGTACCCCCCGACTCTTCCCATTCCAGGCAAAGCTAGGCTAGGGAACTCAACACCCGGATCTGAGCACGAGCGTAACAGCAGCGCGAATAGTACAGCGCCTTCGTCAGACTCGGATGCTCGCTCCCAGACTCGAAATCGCACCAAGAGACGGCGATCTCCTGCCATATCAGACACTTTCGCCGCCTTTTGCGAATTATGGGTCATTTCCTCTCAAATCACTTGGGTTTATCAGCACGATACTAGTCCAGGCCATTCATCCCAGGCTTTTGCACTGGAGAAGTACAGCAAACTACTGTCTTGGGCAGATAATTTGTCTGAAAGTATGGAACGTGACGAGCACAGCCCATCTCATGTGCTTACCTGCCAGTAAGTTAACCTTTTCTTTTTGTCCCGTCAGTGCACGGCGTGCGAATTAACAACCTTCACAGCATGTGGTTCCACGGGACTGTGCTCTACCTCTTCAGGCCGTTCATCCCAAGCGACAAACAGCATGGCTTCAAATTCTGGTCACCGTCAGCCGACCAGATACCTGCCTTTTTTGCGGCCTCCGTCGAGCAGCTCAAAGACCTCGTCGAAGTATACGCGTTGTACCCGGAATCGACGTACAGCATCTTCGGGCACACTGCTCTCATCCATGTAGCCAACGCCGTAGCTAGCGACATAACGAATCCAGAGTGGCGACCCTACTTTCTCAGCTGCATCCGCGCCTATCAGGCCCTATACAGCTCCTTTACCGTTGCCGAAGTGATTGCCGGGGGTCTCCTTTCCATGGTCGTCAGGAAAGGGGGCATGGACATGACGGAAGCTCTAGGGCTGCTGGAAGACCTCAGAGCTCGCAAGGGACCCAGGGCGGGCGGCCGGGCGACTGGCATGTTTGTGACTGATCTCGATCTTGCCGTGACGGACCGCGAGGCGGCGAGGGTTGATCGCTTGATTGAGAACTTTGAAGAGATGACCATCTTGGATGAGTTTACTCAAGGTGTCATCTGAGGTGTGGGATGAGGGCTTTCCTGACTACCATTTCCCTTGCCTGTTGATGTGCATGCTACGGGAGGTCTCTTGGGGAAGGACCGGTTCTGTTTGATGATTTGAATTTTCATGACGCACATGCTGTAATGACGAGCCATCGAGACTCTATATCTTCCCCACGATGTGGGTGTAATTAGTATGCAATACACAGGCGGCCACAACTGGCAAAGGGCAGATCATGTTTCAGTGTCACTTTTGCTCGACATTGTCACTTGCTATGAATACACTGGCTCATTTTGAACATGTTAGCCTAGGGAACTTGAGTAGACTAACCGTGTCTTGTGATGAGGATTTGAGATCTGAGAGGATTTAGAGTCACCGAGTCTAGTGTTTAGCGGCCACATGCCTCAGTTCTAGGCACGGCATCTACCGCGATGACAATCCAGAATGAGCTTGAGGGTTCAGTTCAGCCCTGTACCTCGCAGCCCGCGGGTTGATGTGACCAGGGTAACGAGGAACAACATTTGATAGGGCTACAAGTATAAGGTAGGTAGTGTGTGGGACGTCTTCACATGTTCCCGGTTATGTAATGCACGTCCAAGGTAGGTACCTACCACAGTAGTCTGCCTTACAGGGAAGCAAGATCCTCGAGGTTGTATTCGCACTGACCTCACGGGGTAAAAAGCAGAGCGCTAGTTCCTTTCATTTCATGTTTCCATCCTCCCTCCCGATACAATATCGGCCCTATGTTAGCTACGAAGAAACATCGTATCCCACGAAACCATCCAACCACCACTCGGCGCGCCAACGCAACATCCCAGGGCAATGAGCGGGCAACCCGCCTAACCACGGTCCACAGCAGGCCTCCTTTGGTTTGGTTTGGGGTTTTCTTTATGGCCACAAATAGCACACACACAAGCTCGAGGCATGACCATGATAGGCCGCCGCCGTCGCGGTGCCATCGCCGTCTACCCGCTTGCCTAGAAGTCTAGGTAGAGCGGTCACAGCCATCGCCTTAACCAACGACGCTAACGACAACAGAAACCAAGAGCGAATGGATGGCCGCCGCATCCGGACAGGTTGGGGTGTCATTACCCAACCCAAAATCACCCGTTTTGGGACAAGTTGCTTCTCAGATCATCACCGTCACCTAGCCTTCCCGCGCAGTCCCTGACGAAGGGATCGTCTCTCCAGCTTTATTGTCCTGTCCATGGGGGGAGGCCGCCCCCGATGATACCTAGGTGCCTACAGACTAAGTACGGAGTCTCTGTGCTACCTCAAACCTGCGCCGCCGTCGCAATCCCTGCAGATGATGGACTCGAACTTTCCCAGGACGTTTTTTCCCAAATCTTTGGCGGTCTTGGCTGATGGTGCGCAGTGGCGCCGCTAGCATCGTCAGGAGAACCCGTCGCCGTTTCCGTGAATGATCGGTCGCTTTGCTCTTTACCTTTGACAATTTGAATTAGGTTCTGATCCACGTTACCTAACTACCTATCTCTCACTCCACCTTTTAGGATCCTCGATCCGGGGGCTGCCATCTCTCGGGTGAGGCGAGGGCCTGGCCATCTAGTGGCTGGATGGGCATCCGGAAGGGAAAAAGAAGCACTTGCGCACGCACGATCCCGTCTCACATTCCGGTGCACCGTGGCAGGGGACAACCTCCAAAGCGACGTCGCCTTTGACTACGGCCCACGGGGTCAAGACAACCACTCGGACGACCTTGTCGGTCACTCTTTAATAAACTCATCCCATATCCCGCCTGCTTCTGCATCTGCTTCCCCAGACTCTCGATTGCAGCACTCCTGACAGAGCCGCAAGCCCAACCGCCAAGCCACACACGGACAAGCAACAAGCAGCAGCAGCGGAATCATGTCTTTCAGACGGGCACCTCTCGTGAGCCTTGCTCTCACGCTGTTGCCGTTGGTTGTGGCTGATGACCACCCCTACGTCGCCGATTCAGTATGCGACTGCTATTTGACCAACACATCAGAGAGCTACTTCAGCAACCACTTGTTCTTCGACTTCCGCAACCTCGGCCAATACGCCGGGGTCCCAGATGCCCTCACGGACTGGGATACGAGCGCCAACGCAAACACAACATCCGACTACTTCAATACGGACGCATGGAACGCGATATGGGGTATCCAGAACTGGAACAACACAGATCGTAAGGGGAAAGACGGCAACGACGCCACGGTGAACATGGTCAACTCGCCCAACAACATTTACATTGAGAAGAACAACGACAAGGACGCCACCTCGGACACCTTTATGAGCATGCGCACCGTCCGCTTCGAAGACTTCCAGTCCTCGGCCGAGATGGAGTCCGTCTCCATGGGCTACCACTTCGTCTCGGTCCGCATGCTCGCCCGCACCCTCGGCGACCCGGGCGCCTGCACCGCACTCTTCACCTACCGCGAGGCCGACAAGTACGCCAACGTGCAGGAGGCCGACATTGAGGTGCTCACCAAGGACCCGGACGACCGCATCCAGTACACCAACCAGCCGTCGTTCGACTCGAGCGGCAACACCATCGACAAGTCAACGCAGAACGGCACCATGCCCAAGGGCACTTCGTGGCGCGACTGGGCCGTCCACCGCCTGGACTGGGACGCAAAGGACAGCACCTGGCTCGTCGACGGGTCCGAGGTGTCGAGCATCTCCTTTCAGGTGCCCCGCGACCCCAGCCGCGTCATGCTCAACTCGTGGAGCGATGGCGGGTCGTGGTCTGGCGTAATGGAGGTCGGGCACTCGGCCGTCATGCAGATCCAGTGGATCGAGATGGTTTTCAACTCCACGGAATCGTCCTCGAAGCGTGACGTCCTCGATAACAGCTTCCACCAAGCCGGTCTCGGTCCCAGAGGTCAGCTGGACCGCCGCCGCGGCGAGGGCAAGTGCCAGATCGTGTGCAGCATCGATTCGTCCAACACGATTGGCGCAGCGGTGATGCTACACAACGGTACGGCGCCCGGGCAGCTTCTGGGACAGTCGAGTGCCATGGCTTTCTGGGTGCCCGTGGCCTTGATGTCGGCCATGTTTTACCAGCTGTGGGCGTGATTGGGATTCGCCGTCGAGACGAGACGGGTGGCGTTTGCATCTGATTTATGCCAGCATAGCAACGGGGTTCAAATATGGGATTTGTCTATTCAGTATCGTACAATGATATACATTTTCAAGCTTACTCGGTTTATGATCACTGCAATATCTGTGCCACATGAAGTTGTATTTGGGTACCAAAGTCAGCTACGAGCTTTAGGTTCGAGTGGTCGGATCAAGCATTCAGAGCTCGACCCCTGTAAACGAGCACCAACGCGCGCCGCGACGTGCCTTGTACAGTGGGACACCCCCAGCACCCATGCGCCATGCCATGCCACCCATGGGCAGCCAGAGGATGCCACATGCCTCGGTCCCAATTGGATGTGGGACAATTGGGATGGACCCTTGGCTTGCAGCTCAACCTCCCTCAACAATCTTTCCCAGAAGCTTTGCATCTGCAAAAACACCCATCTTGTCATCATCACCACCACCGGGTACCTGACACAACGATCGAAGCTCTCCGCGCATCGCACTCCCCGAAATCTCCAAACGAAGCTCGAATCACCACCCCAATCGCAAAGAACAATGGCAGACACAGCAACAGCAGCTGCCAAGCCGCAGAGGCGGCAATCCTCCCCCCTCAAGAACGGCTACCTCATCGCCTACAACTTCGTCTCCGCCGTCGCCTGGGCCACCGTCCTCGGCCGCACCGTCGCGCTCTTTGCGCTCCGCGGGCCGCATTTCGTTCATCTCGGCGTCGGCGACTGGACGCGGTGGACGCAGACTATGGCTGCCATGGAGGTTTTGCACGCATTGCTCGGTTCGTTTGGATCCCCCTTACACTCCCTTTTATCCGTTCTCCTCCCCTCAACCCCGAGGCGGCAGAGTCGAAGAAGTAATGAACCCAAGGGAATGAAAGCTAATCACAAGTTCCACACAGGCGTCGTCCGCGCCCCCGTCTTCACGACCGTGATGCAAGTCCTTTCCCGCTTCGTCCTCGTCTGGGGCGTCGTCTACCCCTTCCCCTACCTCGCCCGCAGCCCCTGGTACTCGTCCATGCTGCTCGCCTGGAGCGTCACCGAGGTGATCCGCTACTCGTATTTCGCGCTCACCCTCAGCGGGTTCCAGCCCAAGTTCTTGACGTGGCTGCGGTACAATACCTTCTTCGTGCTGTACCCTATTGGGATCACGAGCGAGTGCGTGCTGATTTACTACGCTGCGAAGCCGGCTAGGCAGTTTGGGGAGATGGTGCCGTGGGTTTCGTATGCTATTCTTGCTGTTTATGTTCCTGGTATGTTTACCCCCATTTTATATCTGTGATTACGAGGAGGGAGTGCTGATGGGAAAATAGGATCGTATATTCTGTACACGTATATGATGAAGCAGAGAAGCAAAGTTATGCGCAACTTGAAGGCCGAGGAGGCGGGCCGCTCCAAGACGCAGTAATTCTTCAACTGAAAGAAGGGGGAAGATGAGAATCCAAAATTTAGGTGGGGTATAAGGACTATATCATGGTCGGGGGTATGGTTATAGACAAAAATGAGAAAAAGAAGATGGGCGTCTACAAGAATGCGGCCTTGCTCCAGGAGCCGTACTAATAAGAAACAAAAGCAAACATCACAGTCTACAGTCTCAAGCGGTAGCGCTCTCGCCCGCCTCCTTGATGGCGAGCTTGTCTTCCTCGCTGGACTCGTACCATTCGTTTCGCGTCCACTGGGCGATGAGAGTTGCTGCGTCTTCCTTGAGTCTGTCGTACCCCGGGTTCATCTTTGGTTCAAACATGTCTAGCCTTCCAGTCAGCAAAAACCAAAACTTACGTCCATAACGTTGAGCAATTTGGGTAACTGCAAAAAGGGGGGTAGACTCACTCATATGCGCCTGCGTCTCCTCCGTAGCGACATCATTCACAGCCTGCTTCCATGTCCCACCATTATCCCGCTTCGGCAGGTTACAAAACGTGCGGTCCCGACCCAGCACCGTGCCGACAACGCTGACCTCCTTGGAGCCGGCGGCTTTACCGAGGCGGGTGTACAGATTCGCGAAGCCGACGTCGAGCTCGCGGTTGAGCTTGACCATGTACTGCACCCTCTTCTGCAGCTCCGCGCCCTTTGCGAGACACCCGACGAACTCGAGGTGCGACGTCGCCCACGTCAGGCCCTGGGTGATGTGTTCGCGGTTGTAATACGCCGCTCCCGCGCTCGCTGCCACGGCGGCGGCGGAGCCTGCCACCATTGCGATCTTGCCCCAGCCCCATCCACCGCCTTGCTGTGAGGAGTTTGCCGGAGGAGCAGGTAGCGCAGCGACGGGTGCTTTGTTTCGTGAAGGTGAAGAAGTAGCTTGCTTCGCGCCCCAGAGAGCGGTGCCGAGGCCGCTGAGCTGCGTCATGGCGGCGTTGGCGGTGTTGTAGTGGCCCTCTGCGCCGTGGGCGACGACGCCGGGGGAGATGCCCAGGTACGGCGTGTCGAAGGCGATGACGCCCTGGATGTAGGGGAACATGAGGCTGTTGAAGGTTGCGGTGGACGAGTCCGCCGCCTTTTCGACGCCGTCTTCAGAGTAGATTGGCTTTTCCGAGGTGAGGCCTATGACGGTCTCGGCGGCGACAATGCCGCCCATGGAGTGGCCTGCTAGAACGACGCGGACGGAGGGGTCTACTGTTGGCGAGGGGGTGTTGTTTGCGACTTCCAGGTCGATTACTTTTTCGAGGAGCCTGGTGGGAGTGTGTCAACGATGACCTCGTTGATGGTCGGCTGTGATGAGAAGGGGGGATCACCAGTCGCGGAAACGGCTAACGCAGTCTCCTAGGTCGCCGCGCGTCTCGTATTTGGGATAGACGAGGACGTTGACGTTGATCTTTGGGAGGAGGGCGGCGAGGTCTGCGCGGAGCTGTGCTGTGAAGCCTTCCTTGTCGCCAAAGGTGTCGTCACCTCCCTGTACGGAACGTTAGGGATCGGAAGTCCTTAGAATGAGCATGATCCGACGTACCTTGAACCCGTGGATGAAAACTATGAGTAACGTCTTCTTCATCTTGTCTTTCCGTTGTAAGTTACATGAGTGAGAATGAGGCGTTGTGAACAGCTATGCGATGTCGTTGATGAAGCTTGGAGCTTGGGGCTTGACGTCTGTGTACAGTGTTAGGACAGTGCGCAAGTACACGGTACCTGGAGGATGCCCCGCCTTGCCACCCCACCATGTGACAACATCCCTCCCTAGGCATAGGTATCCTTCCCTCAAGATACCTCGTGCCTCCCTTGGGGGAAAAGCAACGTCGACTGGCTTGCACTGAGCTATCCACAAAACCACCATAGTGCCATGGCGATGGGGATTTGGACAAACATCTCAAGCAACCAATTTGAACCAGAAATCAAAGTCAGTGTCCCCTGTAATATGATAATACGTATTTCCATATAAGATGCCCCTACCTAACACACTCATCTCGTCTGCTAGTTGTGGTCCATATCTTGAAGTTAACATCAAGGTGGCAAGGTCATAAGCCAGGAAGCAAACATGACCAGCACTTTCGTTGGATATTCCGATTTGAACCCAAAGCCTGTCACGCCGGGCCTACTCATTGGTCTATCAAAATGCAGGCAACTAGGCGTGTCCGCCGCAGTTGCTGGGGCTGAGCGAGGTGCATGACCACACGCGGGGTTTGTGTGACTTTGGGTCACCAGCAGTCGTACTTACGCCGTAGCCACTCTCTGTCGAAACAAAAACATCTACCAACTTTTACATCACTATCAACACGCACATTTTTGACGACATGCGACTTCTGAACGTCGAAACGAGAAGGCTACAAGAGTTCTTCGGCGAGGTGCCAAGATATGTAATCCTATCACACACCTGGGGTAACGACGAGGTCACCTTCCAAGACCTTGACCGTCCTGACCACACCAAGAAACGAGGCTACACCAAAATCGACGGTATCTGCTGCCTAGCGGCCCGAAATGGCTTTAAATGGGTGTGGGTTGATACTTGCTGCATCGACAAGACGAGCAGTGCAGAACTCTCCGAGGCTATCAACTCCATGTACAAGTGGTACAAAGATTCATCTACCTGCTGTGCCTATCTCGAAGACGTTCAGCAAGGCGATGATCCGAGCAGCTTCGACAGGCAATTGTGCAACAGTCGGTGGTTCACTAGAGGCTGGACGTTGCAGGAGCTTCTCGCCCCCGAAACAGTCGAGTTCTTTGATGCTGCGTGGGAGAGTCTTGGCACTCGCTCTTCACTAGCGCCCAAGATCGAGTCCATCACCAAAATACCGACCTCGAAAGAAATGAAGAATCCCCCGCTATCCGCTCCGCAAAGATCGCCATGCGGATGTCGTGGGCTGCTCGGCGGCAGACAACGAGAGTAGAGGATATAGCATACTCTCTTCTTGGAATATTTGATGTTAACATGCCACTGCTCTATGGCGAGGGGGAAAAGGCTTTCGAGAGGCTACAGATCGAGATTATGAAGCAGTCTTCCGACGATTCAATACTCGCATGGGCAAGGAAGGGCGAGACGGGAATAATTCTCGAAAGGGAACGTATCGAGCGCATGGAAAGAAATGATATGAAGCAGTCTACCGACAATTCGACACTCGTATTAACAAGCGAGGGCGAGGGGAAAGGGGCTTTGGAGAGTCCGCAGACCGAGATAATGGGGCAGCCTTCAGACGATTCGATACCATCATGGACATGGAAGTACGAGGGCAAGCCAGAGTCGGTCAAAAACCTTGACAGTATATTTGGCATCCTTTGGGACAAAGGGTTGTTGGCCCAGTGCCCCGATGACTTTGCCTGGTGGACCTCAACCCAGCCTATGGATTTCTATGAAAAAAGCAACTTTGGCACTGATATGACAACCCGCGGTCTGCATGTCACTCTTCCTGTCCTCAAAGGCCGGGGTGAATGCTCCTACGTTGTGCTCAACTGCATGTTGGACAACAGCCTCGACCAGATTCTTGCGGTAAGACTATATCATACCGATGTCGCCGACGAATATGAGCGGGAGGCGGATGGTCTCGTCACTTTATCCTGGCAAGTTGCGAAGAAATGTCAACAAATGACTTTTTACCTTCTGAACTCTGATCAGCAGCGTCTGCCTGATGTACCATCTCTTTGGAACGACTGGAGGTCGACAGTCATCCGAATCCAAGGCCCAGACGATTGGGCCACACGCCTAGTAAGAGTGAGGCCAAAGAATTCTTACCAGAGGGAAAGGAGTTTGGTAGTTGTGAAAGGCATTCACAAAGAGCACTGGCCACAAATTCTCCTTCACTACAAGAAAATCCCGATGGATGACGAACAAGACGACAGCAGTAATGGGGATGGATTCGTCCTTGTCTTGGAAAAGAGGACTCCGCTCAGAGCCATCTTCTCTCTCGAGCTAGAACCTCCACCGTTTGTCTGCTATACCATACCCATGCGGAAGAAAGAGGAACTGGAGCACCTTGTACCAGACAACCTGGATGAACGAACTGTCTGGAACCTGCTACACAATGAAAGTCGCAACTTGTCAGAACTCAGGAACGGTTTCTCACTGAAAGCTGGCGCCCCTCAGGCTAAGATTGAACGAGAAAAGTTCCTCGACCGTGAGCGATTCCTTGTCAAGATTTCTTACACCCAGTCGCTGGCCCAACATGCTAGATCTGTTGCCGTGTCTATCACGCATCTGTACCTAGGAATTGCGTCACCAGTGGTTCACGCGTTGCGCTTCTATATCACGAACGATGTTTTCCTCATTTGAATACCTGTTATCGCCTGGCGGCTGAATAGCAAAGGACGCACGATCGCCACCGGTTGGAAGGAAACTGCCATGACTGATAGCCTAGTGCTCCTCTACACCCTCCTCAGCTGCAGAGCCCATCTCATAATGAAGTCCTTGTGGAGGATCAGGGGGCCGTACACATTGTTCCCTCGCTCCCGTAAGGAAACTAAAGTCCACCCGCTGGTCTCGGTGTTGTGCTCAATGGCGGCTATCCTACTTACAAGGCGTGGACAAAAGGTCTTGGAAAACTTGGACTAGAACAGACTATACAGAAGACAATATGACAGAGAATATGCCAGACGATACGCCAGGCAAAAGGGAACTTTGATAATGGAGAGACAATCATATCGCATATACGGGCTACATATCTTATTACGCCATTTCATTCCTCAACTTATGTGAAATGGGCTCATTGCAATACCGCGCAGTTCAACAGTACTTGTTCTTCAAGAACCTTTCGCTCCCATTTGGCCCGACTCGTACCATCTTTGCGCCCAGTCCCGTACAAATCACCTCGTTGAATGACCGGAGCGATCGAAGACAGTAAGAGTATGTTCTAGGTTAGGTGTAGAGCAAGGCCTCCGAACTTCGGTCCGAAGAGACCAAGACCCCGGTTCCCGAACTGAAAACGTAGGAAGGGGAGGGATGCGATGCTTTAAAAGCCAAGTAATCAAGTTCAATTCGCTTCTAAATATTCACTACAATTTTTTTCATGGCCGTTTGCAACTGATGCGCACTAGTAAGTGGCCGTAAGCCTCTGCACGAGGTACTGCCCGCTGTTGATACCGTCATATTTCTTCTCCTCCTCCGTAGCGTACGTCCCCGGTATAGCCTCGATATGACTCTTGAAGTTGGGGTTGCAAAAGTACCTGTCCATCATCGTCAGCACTTCAGAAGCTTCAAGAACATACACTGCAGTCACTTACGCAATGCTGTAACGGGGAGGATACTCCTCCCCGTCCTCCGGCTTCCGCGGCGGCTCCACGACGCGGTGAATCGTGCTCTTGATGGTATCATTGCTCCACCGCGCAAGCAAATCTCCAGCATTGACAACAACCGTCCCGGGAATCGGCGTAGCATCTACGAACCGTCCATTCGGGCTTCGCACCTGCAGACCCCCGCGGTCATCCTGGAACAGTAGCGTGATCGACCCGTAATCACTGTGCTCTCCAGCGCGCACCTGACCCGGGTTCACTTTAAAGACGTTGGGATCGACGGAAGGGTAATGCAGCAGACGCAGCGTGTTGTCCCCGACGTCGGTATACCCGTCAAAGAACCGCTCGTCCTCCAACCCCATACCCACCGCAATGGCGCGCATCACCTCGACGTGCAGCGCCTTGCACTGCCCGAAGAACTCGAGCATCTGCGTCTTGAACCCGGCCACGCGCTCGCCGTCCCGCTCGACGGGCCACTGGTTCGGGTGGTCCGGCTCGCCGTCGCGGCCAATCTCAAACGACTCCTTGAGGTCCGGGTTCCCCGCGCGCACCTTTTCGATTTCCTCGTTGGTGGTGAGGTTGCTGACTTTCTCGCGGCCGGGCGCGGAGTAGCCGCGGTTGGCCTGCGGGGTGGTCCAGCCGAGGCCTTGCTTGACGGCGTCGGACTGGGAGAAGAAGTCTGCTGATTTGGCGAAGGTGGCGGCGCGGAGGTCCTGGCTGATGGGAACGTTTTGGAGGTAGATGAAACCTGCGTTTTGGAAGCCGTCGAGGACTTGCTTTGCTGTTTCCTTGCGCTTGGCGGCGTTGCCGTTGAGGAAAGCTGAGAAGTCAATGAGCTTGACGTTGATGTCAGTTTGCGATGCGAGGTATATGCGATTACGATGAAGGTACGTCACTGATGTCACTCACGGGGATGAAGAGGCCCTCCTTGTCTACTGCTGTAGCTGCCATGATGATCTAGTTGTTGCTTTCTTCACTGGGGTTGAGAGGGGATGGATGAGAGATTCAGAGATGAATGTGGTCAGTTGAGACTTGGGAGCATCACATGTATCAGGGTGAGGTGTAATCTCGAGGAAGAAGTCACGATAAGGTTCGTTACTAAATCCGTGCGGTACAGGTTCCGAGCGACTTATATCTATCCGTCGATACGATAGGTTGTGTAAGTACCTGGTCGCGGGCAACTGGCGGCGGCCCAGCCAACCAGAGGCCGAGCATTAACATCGTAAGTTAACAGCCAACCACCGGCGCCGTCTAATCAGTTCCGGACGGGGCCAGGCGTTGCCCCTTGTTGATCCCCGGCCAGAACGGGGCATTACGGGGAGAGACTCAAGAGAGAACCCTTTTACAAGACCGGCTGGGTCCGCGGGTGCACGAGTGGGAAGTTCATCGGAGAGCTCCTACACGTTAAACTTTTGTGTAAGCAGTACCTCAGTGTCTCACACTGGAGAGGAGGGGGGGGGAAAGAAAGTCTGACGATAAGATGCCGGTGGTGCGTTGAAGGCCGGCGCGCGGAAAGACGATTGGAGATAACGGCGGGGTAAAGTTGAAAGATAATCGACAAGGGAAGGATTGCCTAGGTACCTTACCTTACCTTACTTACCTTTGGAGACGCCCGCGTGTGGGGTTTTGTGAGGTATGCGGTGCATTGAGACGCTTGCATATGAGGGGAACATGGATTGGAGGGGGAACCAGGCGTTGCGGGTCATGGCGACCTCATCACCTTCCTGGAAAGATGTAGTTTGTCGGGTAACTGGTACTTTTCTTCTTAAAAAGGAAGACGAGGGGCAACACAGCTTTGCGTGCTCCTGGGAAAGCTTCCAACTTGGAAACAGACCACAACACCAACAATAACAAGATTCTGTTCTTTTCCTGTTCGTGGCTTGCGGGAGAGATAAGCCGAGGTCTCTTACCGTCTTAGCTACAAGTGAGCGTCTTCATCTTGTAAGTTGACCCAGCATCATGACTTTAAAAGCTCAAAGCTGAACCACTGGCTAACGACAAGTAGACCAATCACCGAGACTGACTTGACTGTACTTCAAGTCATCTCAATACCAGCTCCAAGTGAAGACGAAAGGCAGCAAAGGGACGTCATCAGATCGTCCAATTTCACAATGGCCTCATCAACATCCATGACGGTGGTGGACGTCCACACCCACATGTACCCCCCGTCCTACGTCAAGATCCTCGAATCTAGAACAACCATTCCCGTCGTGCGCAGCTTCCCGCAAACACCAGACCCGCGCCTCATCCTCCTGGCCTCGGAGGAACAAGCCCTCGATGAGGCTACCAAGGATCCTTCAGCGAAGCCTCCTGGCCGGCCGCTGACCTCTCACTACGCCTCGCTCGACCAAAAGGTCCACTTCATGGACACGCACAAGATCAACATCTCGGTCATCTCCTTGGCGAACCCGTGGCTCGACTTCATCGATGCCTCCGAGTCTGGCGCCATGGCCAAGGGCGTCAACGAGGAGTTCGACGGCATGTGCGCCGCACACCCGGGCCGCCTCTTCTTCTTTGCTGCTTTGCCTCTGACGGCATCACTCGAGACCATCTTGGAGGCCATCAACCACGTCAAAGCCCTCAAGTACTGCCGCGGCATCATCCTCGGCACTTCGGGGCTCGGCAAGGGCCTCGACGACCCGGACCTGCTGCCCATCTTCAAGGCCATCGCCGCCGCCCGCCTGACCATCTTCCTGCACCCGCACTACGGGCTGCCCAACGACGTCTGGGGTCCCAGGGCGAGCAACGAGTACGGCCACGTTCTTCCCCTGGCCCTGGGTTTCCCGATGGAGACCACCATCGCCGTGGCACGCATGTACCTGGCTGGCGTCTTCGATGACGTCCCAGAGCTGCGCATGCTTCTGGCGCACAGCGGAGGCACGCTGCCTTTCCTGGCGGGACGCATCGAGAGCTGCATCATGCACGACGGGCAGCTGGTGCGCGAGGGCAAGGTCGGCAAGGGCCGCCGGACGATTTGGAGCGTGCTCAAGGAGCAGATCTACCTCGACGCCGTCATCTACTCAGAGGTTGGGCTGAAGGCGGCCATCGATGCCAGTGGAGCGGATAGACTCATGTTTGGCACTGATCATCCCTTCTTCCCGCCATTGACCTCTGATGAGCAGGGCGAGTGGGAGAGTGTGAGCATGAATGCTGATGCCGTTGCTGTGGCGGTGGGCGAGGGAAGCGAGCAGGCCAAGGCCATCATGGGCGGCAATGCGATTGAGATTTTGAGACTAAAGGTGGACTGAGAAAGTAGCTTTGTAATGCAAAGAGAAGAAATTAAAAACTCACGAAAGTCAATCGTACCTTTAAGTGAAATGAAAGTGAGTGAATCTCACATGAGAATTGGTTTGAGTGCATGAGCGAGGCTGACCGCTTTCCTAAATGGGTCAGGTTTGGCGGGACCGAATTACACCGCCTGCCAAATTTCATCCCATTTACCACTTTCTGCTGGCAATTCCTGAAAATATGGCAATTGGCCCCGCGATGTAGCTTCATCCTGCATCTCATCCTCACACACTCAGGCTCATCAATTCATCCGAGTTTTACTTCCTTTTACTCGAGAGAACAGACCAATTCTCATTACACGTCAATTGAGATCACAATGGCGGCTGAAGTCCGCCGCTCTAACGGCACGCGCCTTGATGCGTCCCTCGGCATCACTGAGCGCATTGCGCCGAGTATGGTCGCTTGGACTGGAGACATGCGCAAAAGGTAAGTCCTTCTATCTGCCTCATAAAACTTCTCCATTAACACAACCCCTCAGATACACTGACTTCCAAGTCTACGAAATTAACAAAGACGGTTCCGTCCTCCACCTCACAGAAACTCGCCTTCCCCCGCCGCCAAAGGAGACCACGCCGCCTCCACCAGCACCTCCTGCACCTGCTGTTCCCGTAGTAGAAGAGAAGAAGGGAGAAGAAGAGCCGAAGCCAGAAGAGCCATCGAAAGATGGAGAAGCCGCCGAGAAGCCCGCCGCGGCCATCCCCGAAGTCCCCGCTGAGGACATTGCCCTCCTCGCCTCCCTCACAAACGACGACTTCG